AGAGGAATATTGAATGGCAGAGAAACACTTAAAGAAATGTTCAACATCCTTAGTCATCAGGGAAATGCAAATCAAAATAACCCTGAGATTTCACCTTACATCCATCAGAATGGCTAAGATAAAAAACTCAAGTGACAATACATGCTGGAGAGGATGTGGAGAAAGGGGAACCCTCCTTCATTGCTGGCAGGAATGTAAACTTGTACATCCACTTTGGAAATCAGTCTAGCGCTTTCTCAATTAGAAATAGCACTTCCTCAAGATCCAGCCATACCACTCCTAGGCATATATCCAAAAAATGCTCAAGTATACAACAAGGACATTGCTCTACCATGTTTGCAGCAGCTTTGTTTGTAATAGCCAGAAGCTGGAAACAACCCAGATGTCCCTCAATTGAGGAATGGATACAGAAACTGTGGTACATTTACACAATGGAATACTACTCAGCAATTAAAAACAAGGAAATTATGAAATTTGCAGGCAAATGGTGGAACTAGAAAAGATCATCCTGAGTGAGGTATCCCAGAAGCAGAAAGACACACATGGTATATACTCAACTTCTAAGTTGAAAAAACTTTTATAAGAAATGAAAGAGCTGCTCATAGTTTGGCTAATAAGACTATGAAATATGGGAGCCAAAAGGGATCAGTCTGAATGACATGTGAGAAACTGAGTTATATAACTAATCATCCTCTTTTCGACAAAGGCTGCATAAGCTAAGGCAATGAGAGAGAAATCAGAGGATCAATATATATTGGCCTTTAGAGACACTTGTTATTGCCTATTGCCTGTTGAAGCTACCAAAAATATCTAGGACTGTAAGACTGACGTTGATGAGGGGGTTTGAATGTCAAAGATAGTGCTTGATTCCTCCTCACCAAGCTTAGGTAGAACTGTGTTCATGGGAGAATTAAGAAAGATGTTAATTCAGAAGGGACCTGTGATTGGTGTGAGGCTTTAATTGCTTTCCTAGCCCTGAATGAAATGTAATCTTTACAAGGTCTTGTAAAGAGGCCCTGGCAGAGCTAAATATTTACAGCAGCATATAAATAGAGTTCATCAAGTGCTAAAGAAATCAAAAGAGGGAGAGAAGGTCAATGTAGACAAAGAGGCCTGTCCAGGTTATTCAAAGGTAAAGGTAGCAAGATTTTGTCAAGGAATTCCTGGAAGGAAAGGGGGAAAATGCTGTGCTACTGAGTTACAGATGGTTATGACTGGCCCAGCACAGGTGCTAGAAACCAGACTCAGTTTCTGGAGGACTTTACATACCAAAAATTTACCACAAATATAACTGATTTAAAAAAAAAGTGCATAAAAGATATGTTAAGCTTGAACTAGGGGTGAACAGTTAGTTATTCCCAGACTGCTTAGTACACTTTTCTCTGTAAGAGTAAATACTAGAGGTGTGCATTGTTCACTCATCCAGGGGTCCCTTCAGCAATCAGGTAAAACCAAGGAAAGGCAAAAGCCATGATGCTGGCCTGGGGCCTGTCAGACGCTGGAAACTGACTCCAGTGGCAGGCCCAGCAGGTTAGAGCGTGGCCCTGCTCTGCCTCTTGGGTATGAGCAGTTCAAGCTTGTCGTACTAAAACTGTCATATTCTAAATCAATCCCAGTGAACCTAACATTGCTCTTTCCAGGAAACATAGAAGTGATAGGATCTTTCATAATACACTGGATATTGCTAATGTGTTCCCTATTCTCTTAGCCATCCAAGCTCAACTGACACTTGCTTAGAATACACAGAGTAGTCAGCCTTCCAAAATCCTGCTACCATCTTTTTAAAAATATTTGCTTGCACAATGCCAAACTTTTTGAAAGAGCATCAAAAAGTAGAGTAAAAATAAAGACTTCCAACAAATGTGCCCAATAAACCACAAGAGTGGTGAGTGAAAAATCTCACTGCCAAGCATGAGCTACTTAATTAGTTATTGGCAGTGAAGCCCTTGAATCCCCATAAGTCATTAAGGTGTGTTGCTATTGATTCCATGCCAAAATTTGATCATTTTCTATTGCTGAAGACAAGGCATACTTTGGCTGCAGAAGGCTAGGATGAAGCTAGAATATCTTCCTGGTGGATGGGTTTCATAGTACCAGAGATAGTGTAGGCTACTGAGATACTGTCACAAGAGTCCTGCATTATTGAAACCTTATTATTTCACTACTAATATATAAGGTGATGCATCCACTGATGAATAAACAGTGGCATGACTATTGTGAACACTATCAACTGCTTTATAATTGGATTTAAAGCCACCACACATTGATAAGGGAAGCTTCTTTTTTTGTACTGCAATGGTAACTATGGAGATTCCTTACTAGTCAAGGAGCTGTGAGTGACTGTTAGAGTGGCCTAGTGAACCAATGCTTAGCTCTCAATAGAAGAAACTAATCCAGAATCTATATCATCCTTATTCAGAGTTCAAACAACATTGTATAGCATGTGCTAAGAAGCTAAGAGCAAATGAAAGGTTGGAATATTATGCCCCTGTTTTCTCCAAAGAGAAACATTCCTTCTTTCCTAAGAGAAGAGATGCATAAAACTCAAACTAGCGAAACAAGATTCAGGAAGTTCAGAAAGCTAAAGATTGACAATGACCCTTTACCAGGATTATAAAAACAACAAACAACTACTGGGTAGAGGCTCTCCAGTGAATGCTGCCTATAGGTTGGGCCATGAGGTTGGAGAATACAGCTTTCCCCCTTCCCTGGCAATGGACAAAGAGACAAGATTATGGTGATGGTGGTGTTCTTCTATCAGTCAGGAGTGGAGCAGATGGCAGGCCTTTGTTCAGCCTAGCTTGAAGCCTGGCTTGTTGGCCAAAGCTCTCTTAGGCCTAGGACTCATAGAAATCAAATCATATCAAATCCAGGCGGTGCAGCACAGGAGTAGGAAGACAGAGACCTGCGGACCACCATGCCACGTACAGACCACCATTCCACCCACAGACCTGCCCTCCAGCACATGGCAAAGACAGCTCATAGAAACCCACTTGCCACCATGCCATGAAGAACTGGATGGAGAGTGTTGCCCACAGGCCCACTGTGTGACCTGTCTGCAGTGGGAGCCCCACAGTATGTGAGTATTTGGTGGTTAGATGGGAGAGAAAGAGAAGTAGAGGAGCTTCAGCATCAAGTAAGAGAGATGAACTGGAGAGCCGAGAGGAGTAGCCTGTTAGGAGTGGCCAGCCCCACAACCCGGGGCCATGGTGAGGTTCCAGCCGGAGCTGCCACTGAGGGTCACATTTGGATCCATAGCTACGCAGCAGCAAGGGACCATGTAACATGGCTCACATTACCGCTAGCAAACATGGGGATGTTTCTGGTCAGGGCATCTGCTGGAGATCACAGTGGATATTCAGGGGCTCTATAACTGGTCCTGCCCCTTTCTGGATGTGGTGCTCAGAAGAGCTGGCCCCATCACTCACCAGTGACAGCACTCAAGAAAAGTGGGCCCTGCACCTCACCTCTCCTCACAGGGAGGCAGATCTGACCCTGGTGACCCTGAGGGTGAGGGCTCAGGAGTGCCAGCCCTGCTACTAGTCTGCCATGAGGTAGCTTGGGTATAGGGGTGATGCCTTGTCCCTTACCACCTGCAGCCGTCAGGAGAGCTGGCCCCAGGGTCATGAGAGTGGGAGAACTGTTCCTGTCCCTCACTGGCTGCAGCACTCAAGAATGGGTCCTGAAACATGCCTGGGTAGCACAGTAGTGCTGGCCCTGATCAAGGGGGCATGGGGGAGCCAGCCCCAAGGACTCATCTGCTGTGAGGTGTTGTGGATGCAGGGGTAATGCCCTCCCCACTTTTACGCCTCCCCACCTGTGGCAATCAGAAGAGCTGGAGTCATGACAGAGGGTGAGCTGTCCCTGCCCCTCACTGGCTGCAGCCTGCAGCAGGCCCTGCAGCTCACCGAGTAGTACAATAGGGCTGGCCCTGGTGGAGAGGGAGCAGGTGAGCCAGCCCTGAGGGTATAAGAGCAAAAAAGTTGGCCCAGCCCCTCACAGGCTGCAGCACTTGGAAGAGTTGGCCCCAAACCTTAACTGGGCAACACAGTGGGGCTGGCTCTGGAGGCATGTATGCTGGTGAGCCAGCCCTGAAGGCAGGAGAGCAGGAGAGTTGACTGTGCCTCTTGTCACTAGCAGCATTGGATGCCCTAGCCAGAGCAGTGTTGGAGTTTGCCCTGGTGGTGAGAATAAGGAAGAACAGGTGGGGTGACATGCTCAGCTACCACCAAGACCCGATTCCAGGGCTCTGAATTGACCCACCCCAAAACTGACATCATCTGCAAATGGTTGGGACATGTGAAAGGGCCAGTCCTCCTGATCCAAAGCTGTAGGATCTCCATGATACAGGGCAACATCAGGATAAGTGGGAAGAGTCCTGAGAAGTATCCAATATAGACAGTGTCACAGAAGCCAGAGATCTTGAACCAGACCAATGGCTCACAATGAACATCTGTAAATGAAAATGTGTGGACAGAGGGACATAGTGTGGGACACACTGTGGCATACTACAGCTTCCACGTTTAAAATGCTTTGGGGCTTTTTTGTTGTTCTTTGTGTGTTTATTTTGAGGGGGGGAGGTTGCAAGGGCAAAGAGCAGACATAAGAGGACAGGGAGATGAACAGGACTGGAGTACAGTTTATGAAACGCACAAAGAATAAATAAAAAGTTAGAGCTGGGCATGGTGAGACATGCCTGTATTCCCAGCACTTACGGAGGCAGAGGGAGGCAGGTCTCTGTGAGTTTGAGGCCAGCCTGATCTACAAAGTGAATCTAAAACAGCCAAGGCAATACAAAGAAACCCTGGCTTGGTAAGAGAGAGAAAGGAGAGAGAGAGAGAATGAAAAGTTAGAAAAAGAAGGCAGCTTTCATGAATCATCACCTGTGCCAGGATGGTCTTTTAGATAGCAAAGACACCTCTGAATCACCCATGTTCCTAAAAATAACCTCATCTAAGTCATTATTCTATTGCTGTGAAGAGACAACATGACAAAGACAATTCTTATGAAAGTATTTAATTGGGGACTGTCTTAGTTTCAGGGGCTACTCTATTATAATCATGGCAGGAAACATGGCACCACTCAGGCAGACACGGAGTTGGAGAAGTAGCTGAGAGTTATACACCTGATCTATAGGCAGAGTGAGACTGGGTCTGGCAACTCCCCCTCTCAATGGCATACTTTCTTCAACAAGGTCACACCTCCTAATCCTCAAATGGTTCCATTTCATGGTGACTAAGCATTCAAATATGTGCCGATGGGGACCATTCTTATTCAAACAACCAGAAACCCCTAACCCTTATTCCTATAAGTAACCCTAATTGAGTTCAGCAGTCCACCAACCTCTATTTGGATAGAATAATTTATCTGTTATCAGTGCCCTATCTAGGGTGAATGGATGTTTATTCCAATCTGCCCCCAAAAAGCTAACACAAGTTATACACGTAGAAGTTTCTGTGAGCACACAAGATGTAAGAACTTATGGAAGCATTTGCCATATTCCATAAATGTAATTTGTCTTCAGTGTGTATCACATGTAGCAAAGGTAGTGTGTGTGTGTGTGTGTGTGTGTGTGTGTGTGTGTGTGTGTGTGTGGTGTTCTAGTATTTCTTTTCATGAAGTTCTTCTCTACTGTGAGTTCAAAGATGAACATTAAACTACTTAGCAGACATATAACTACTATATGTATTACATATCAATAGTATTTTGCTCTACTGCAATTTTTCACATACTTAGCAAAATCTGAGGAAGTAGTGGAGTTTCTGTGTTACACTGTATGGTCTCCTACTTGTCAGATTGTGAGTAGACTCTAATTACTTTTCCAAGATTATCACTTTCATGGGGCTTCTTGAATGTTGAGGCCTTCATGTATTTTCAAGATTTATTTAAAATTAAGTCTGTGTGTGAGGCATGTACATATAAGTACAAGTGTCCACAGAGGCCAGAGCCATCAAATCTCCCTAGAGCTCATGTTGAATGGCTCAACATGAGCATTGGGAACCAACCAATCTCAGGAGGAAAAGTACATCTGTTAAGCCACTTCTAGGACAACTGACTACCTGTGTTGAGCTTCAAAACGTGAACACTCCTTAGGAGACTTTGTCATTCTTTACATGAGTATCACTCCGTGATTATTTATGTTCCACATGAGCAGAAGATTAAGTGAAGCCTTTCTCATATTCTTTCAATTTAGAGCTTATATCCACTCAAGTATGAACAGTGGAAGCTTCCTCGATTCCTTACAACCTTATAGGGTTCCTTACAACCCTTCCTTATAGGGTTTCTCTATAGTATGTGTGCATGTTTAATAAGAGCAAAGTGCCCAGTAAAAACTTTCCCACAGTTCTTATATACATAGGGCAACTCTCCAACATACACTCTCAAAAGTTGAAAGAATACCTAAGTGCTTTGCCACACCTTGTACAATCAAAGGGCCTCATCCAGTGTTGAGTTCTCAAATGAACATTTAGAGAAGGAAACAAATGCCTTCCCACACTGGTTCATTCAAAGGGTTGCTCTCCTGTGTGACTTCTTAGATGTTAAAATGTGCAGATGGAGTGAAGGCATTCTGACATTCTCTGCATTCATAGGGTTTTTCTCTAATGTGAGTCCGCATATGTGTAGCCAGTATAGCCACTAAAGGCTTTTCCAGTCCTTACATTTATATGATTTTAGTCCGGTGTGAACTCAGAAGTACAACTTAAGGCATGCAGAATTTCTTAAGGATCTTGTACATATCTGACATCCAAAAGGCATCTCACCAGTATGAGTTTTGTATGTTACAGTGAGTTACGAAAAGCTGATGAATGCCCTCCCACATCACTAACATGGATAGGGCTTCTCCCCAGTGTGTGTGCTTATGTGTCTATTAAGGCATGAGCACCCACTGAAGGCTTTCCCACAATCCTTACATACATGGGTTTTCTCTCCAGTGTGAGTTTTCATGTGTCTGCAAAGGTAGGAGGAACGTGTAAACGCTTTACTACACATTGTGCACTCAAATGGCTTCTCTCCAGTGTGAGTTCTCAAATGTGCAGTAAGATATGAGGAAGATGCAAAGGCCTTTCCACATTGATAGCATTCAAAGGGCTTCTCTCCTGTGTGACTTCTTATGTGTTCAATAAGGCCTGAGGATGTACTGAAGGCTTTCCCACATTCCTTACACTCATACGGCTTCTCCCCAGTATGAGTCAATACATGTGTGGTAAAGCTAGTCCGTCCACTGAAGGCTTTCCCACAGTCCTTACATTGGTATGGTTTTATTCCAGTGTGAATTTGGAAGTGCTTCTTAAGGCAGGAGGAATTCCTAAATGATTTTGCACACACCTGACATTCAAAGGGTTTCTCACCAGTATGAATTTTCATATGTTCAGTTAGTTGATAAAAGCTAGTAAAGGCCTTCTCACATTCCTTACAATCATAAGGCTTCTCCCCGGTGTGTATCCGTGAATGTTTATTAAGGCACGAGCGCACAGCAAAGGTTTTCCCACACTCCTTACAATTATAGGGTTTCTCTCCAGTATGAGTTCGCATGTGAATTCGAAGGTAGGAGGAACGTGTAAATGCTTTCCCACATACTGTACACTCAAAGGGCTTTTCTCCAGTGTGAGTTCTCAAATGTGCAGTAAGGTAAGATGAAGAAGCAAAAGCCTTTCCACATTGGTTACATTTAAAAGGTTTTTCACCCGTGTGACTTCTCACATGCTCAGTAAGTCCTGAGCATTTACCAAATACTTTCCCACACTCTATGCATTCATAAGACTTCTGCCTCTTATGACTTCGTACATGTGTAGTTAGGCCTGAGTGAACAGTGAAGGCTTTTCCACATTCCTTATCTTCATAGCATCTCTCTAAAGCAGAACAATTTGTAGATTGAGTAAAAGCTTTCTTACTTTGCTCCATTTCAAAGAAATTTTCTTTACTGTGAGCTCTGCTATGTGCCTGAAGTTGCAACTGATTAACAAAGGCTTTCCCACAATCACTGCATTCAAAGGAATTGTCCGGAATGCATGCCCTCTGGTAAGCAATGCTTGGCATCAGGGCAAAGGTTTCTTTACACTGAATGAACACTGAAAGTTTCTCTTCAGTAGAGGCTTTCCTGGCTGAAGAAAGTGAGTCTTTTTTATACCAATTATATTGAGAATTTTTCTCTGTATTTTGAATATTTCTGTGTGTCTGAAGGCATTGGTGTTCACGGAAGAATTTTCCAACCTTCTTAGAGTCATAGAGCTCCCCTCCATTCCAGATTCCTGCCTGTTGATTAAGAGATAAATGAGTATTAGAGAATTCTTGAGACTTGTGCAGGATGTTCTTTGGGTAACTCTGAAGCACAAAGCTTCATGCTACAAAACTAGTCCAGAAAAACAGGTCCCTTGTGCAAAGGCTACTTCTCTAAAATCTTTGTTTATGCACAGAAATATCACAGAATTCCAAATATTCTTTGACTTAGAAAACTAAGAAATACCTTTATTAATGTCAGTTGTATCTCGGTTGATATATCTGGCCAAAAACCATCCAGCTGAAGTTCTGTCTCTTTTGCCTCAAGGTCCATTTTCCATTCTGAAATAAAACATTGAAAAATATACATAAAAAATATTTATGCCCTCCCCCTCAGGGGGGTGCAACCTTATCAGTCCACAGAGGAAGACAATGCAGCCACTCCTACTGAGACCTGATAGACTTGGATCAGAAAAAAGGGGAGGAAGACCTCCCTTATCAGTGGACTGGGGGAGGGGTGTGGGTGGGACAGAAGGAAGGAGGATGGGTTTAGGAGGGGAGGAAGGAGGGAGCTACAGGTGGAATTCAAAGTGAATAAACTGTAATTAATAATAAAAAATACAAAAAAAAACAAAAAAGAAAAATATATATTTATGCAACAAAATGGGATATTAAGTATTTCTTCTGATATTAAATATGCTAAGTTAATAAAGCAAAGTCAGAATCAAACAGAATGATTAAATAATTGAACTCAATTATATAACTATAATTTGGCAGCCATAAGAATATGGGGTCAAAATAAAATTAACATTTATTTATTGTAAATAAATATTATGAATTATTTAGTGTATGTGTGCACAGGCATACATGGTATGGCACAAGTGAGGTTAGAAAAAAACTTAGTAGAGTTGATTCTCTCCTTCTACCATGTGAGTTCCAGGAATCAAACACAAATCAATAGGCCTGGAAGAAAGCATCTCTACCCACTAAGCCATTTTAGTGGCCTCAAAACAATTTTATATGTGTGTGAGTGTGTGTGTGAAAACTACATGGGATGGTAAACAAAAATAATGTAATTTGGGGAAGAAGAAAGCATGCAACTGCAAAAACACAATCATGAACTTAAAGTGTAAAAGAGTAGATCATTGTTGAAATCATAAGAAAGTCTGGATATGGGGCTAGAAAGATGGGTTAGTTAGGAGGACTTGTTGCTTTTTCAGAAGACTAAGTTTCAATTCCCAGCATACAATACACATAATAGCTCACAACTGCTGCAACTTCAGTTATAAGAGATCTGATGTCCTCTCTTCTGGCCTCTATAAATATCAAGTACATAAACTGTGCACAGACTAACATGCAGGCAAAATACCCACACAAAATTTTTATTATTAACTTAATTAATTTACATCTCAGTCATAGGCCCCTCCCTCCTCTTCTCCAAGTCCTACCCTCTTTCCCATACCCCCTTTCCTCCATTCTTCAGAATAGGGGAGCCCCCCTACACAGACACCCCAGCTCATCTATCCACATGAGGACTGAGTTCATCTTCCTCCCCTGTGGCCTGGTAGGAAAGTCCCATCAGGGGAAAGTGATCAGAAAGAGACAACATAGTCCATGTCAGAGATACCTACTCCCCTAATTACTGGGTCCACATGAGGCCTAAGATGGCCATGAGGCTTGTCTTCTTGAGGTCTGTGCATTGTAGTATGTCTATCCTGTACTATATGATTAAAATCCACTTATAAGTGAGTATGTAAATCTTTAATACATTTTCTTAATTTCAAAGGAAGTAAGTCTAAATAGAACAAATAATATAGTAAGAGATGCTGAAAATATCTCAAAACCTGTAGTCCAAGGACTTCAGTGTCCAGATTAAGGTTGGTCCTTTTGTTTTTACATTTATTTTCTGTATATTTGTGCATGTGTACAAACACATAGGCTTGTACCATGTGGGTTCAGGAGATCAAACTCAGGTAGTCAGGTTTGGTAGGAAGTTTCTTTACCTGCTGAGTCATCTCATCAATTCTCAAGTCAGTCTTTAAAAGTTTTTTCATGGGGAGCACTGAGAATGGATCTGATCAAAAGAAAAATATATTCATACCTGAAAAAAACTTTCCTGTGGCTGGAGAGATGGCTTAGCAGTTCAGAGCACAAAACCTAGGTCAATGCCCAGCAACCACACGGCAGCTCAGAACTGTCTAACTCCAGCCCCAGGGCTCCGTCAGCACTGCGTGGCTCAGCGCACACATGGCGCACAAACATATATGTAGGCAAAATACTCAGCGCTAAAATAAAAATAAAGGAAAACTTCTTTCAAAAAAGCTTCCTCATAAAAAAAAGCTTCCTCATACTTCAAAACATGCTGAACCTGTCAATAAGAAATTATTTTAACCCATGCTCACCTTGGAGAACTCCTTCTTCCACTATAGTCAACAAATTTACTTCCTCCAACCAAGAGATGAGGCTGGGTTTGACAAACTGAACTCCTATACACAGAAAAAGATATTTCAATGACAGAGTCTCACAAAAGAGATGAAAAACCTTCCCATGTAAGAGAAATTATATTCTAATAAAACATAAGAATTACCTCTCTTTTGAGATAGGATCTCAGGGAGTCCAGGCTGACCATGAACTCACTATGTAGCCAAGGCTGACCCTGAATATCAGATCCCTGTGTCTATTACCCAAGAACTAAAGTTACAAGCATGCAATACCATACTTAGTTTTATGCAGGACTGGGCACTGAACCCAGGCCTTTTCATTAAAAACCTGTATTAGCCAGACGTGAACTCCTTTAATCCCAACACTCGGGAGGCAGAAGCAGGTGAATCTCTGAGTTCAAGGCCAGCCAGGTCTACAAAGCAGGTTCTAGGACACCCCAGGCTACATAGAAAAACACTGTCTCAAAAAAATAAAAACAAAAAAATATAGATGTAAACATCACTAAGATTTTTCTTCAAATTGGATATAACAGAAATGGAGACAGATCTTCAATCTCATGGGAAAGGACTATACCAATAGTTGTTTATTTTTATTGTTGTTGTTGTTGTTTTGATTGTAATGACACATGGTCATGCTATGAAGCCCTAGCTGACCTTGTACTTGTTATACAGCTCAGGCTAGCCTTGAGCTTGTAGCAAACCTCCTGCATGCTGGGATTATAAGTGTGCACCATCATGCTCAGCTAGTAGTTATCTTTAGAGTGGAAACATTCAAATGTAAGAATTGTAAAAAACAGATGATAGGAACACAAATGGAGATTTTTCTGATTCATTATGTCGAAGATAGAGTATAAGGTTGTGATTTTCTAAGGAAATAAAATTGATGCTACTAATCCAAAAGCCACATTTATTGATAACTGCCAATAACAGATTAAAATGTGCTAGCTCAATGACCATGTCTCTATTGTTTCCCATTATATTCAAAGTTAACACCATCAGTCTTCCTTAAGAGGCTGTAGGATATAATGTCAGTCTTACCTACTGTGGCCAAGTTCTGGTAGTTCTCCAACATCACATCTCTGTAGAGGTTTCTCTGAAATGCATCCAATAAGTTCCACTCTTCTTTGGCAAAGTACACAGCCACATCCTCAAAGGTCACTGAGTCCTAAACCATCACATGCATGTCAGTTTGAGCAAAGTGATATCACCTATGTTCACTGGAGAATGCAAAAGTGACACCCATGCCTGTAAAGGAGTCTAAGGTCTCTAATGTTTTGTTCCAGAGCTCAGTGGTACTAAGACATCTCTAGCCAGACTCATTCCGAGGACCTCTCATAAAAATCAATCATAGGATTTTTGGGACCTCTTACTCAAAAAGTTCTACTCCTACAACTTACAAAGAGACCTCTTCTCACCCTATTTCTATGCTATAGATACTTATAAGTATAATACAAAAACTTAAAAAATATGGGGCAAGAGATGGCTCATCAGTTAAGAGCACTTGTTGCTCTTACAGAGGACCTGGGTTTGGTCCACACACCCACAACTATCTGTAACTCCAGTTCCAGAGAATCCATCCTTCTCTTCTGATTTCTGTGGGCAGTAGGTATGTATATGGTATACATACATACATACATGAAGGCAAAACACTCACGCACACAAAATTAAAATCTAAAAAGAAAATGTGTTAATGACGTATGAACACATTCTTGGAACAAGACAACTGTATCTTCCTTATAATCTGCTATAATACTTAGAAAAATAAACTAGACTATCAGTAGAAGAAAAATTAAGAACAGCATGATTACTAAAATAGTAAGGTAATTTTGAGACTAATCCTTCACCAGTGTGAGACACACACCTTCACAGGAAAGTTCATCAAAGAACTTTCCCTTGGGGGGCTGGAGAGGTGGCTCAGAGGTTAAGAGCACTGACTGTTCTTACAAAGGTCCTGAGTTCAATTTCCAGCAACCACATGGTGGCTCAAAACCATCTATAATCAGGTTTGGTGCCCTCTTCTGGCGTGCAGGTATTATATGTAGGCAGAACACTGTATACATAATAAATAAATTTTTAAAAAAAAGAACTTTCCCTTGACATGCTCTTTGTTATTATTATTCTAATGACCTCTGATGACCTATTCTACTTATGAGGAAATGTGTTCTCTGTTGATCCTACTATTGTTTATTAGATGCTAATAAAATAAAAATACAAAATAAAAAACTATCCTAGTGATTCACATCTTTAATCCCACCACTTGGGAGCCAGAGGCAGAGCTCTGTAAATTTAAGAGTTCTTGTCTACATAGTGTAATGCCAGGATCACGGGACCCTCAGAGACTACCAGGAGACAACTTGATCCAAGGGCAAGAGAGCTTTATTAGGAAAGTGATCAAACTAGGGACCTAAGTCTCACTGACACGGTAATAGAGAAGTGGGACCCCAAGCCCTGAGTGAGCAGGGTTTTTAAAGGGAAAGACTGCCAACAGGGGGTTTCCATGACAGCAAGCAGGGGGCACATGTTTCTGTGACAGTAAGCAAGCCTTGACATTACAGGATTGGGTAAAAGCCATAGGGGCTGGGTGACCTTTTACATAATCACAATTGCCATTCTTCTAAACTACATCTGGAACACTGGGGAGAATTTTCCCAGCCAATTCTCATTGCTTGATGCCAGAGGAAATTATCTCTTTTTTTTACTAAACATTTGTTCTGTGATATTTCCTGGAGGCCACTGCTAGGAGAGCTAATTTTGTTTTCTGCCAGATGCACATTCTGTGGTATTTCATGGTACCTGAGTTCAGCTCCTGGTGAAGATGGGTCTTCATTTCAAAATGGAGTACCCAGGCTAACTTAAACTCTTCAATAGCAAGTTCTAGGCTAACTAGGGCTACAGAGTGAAACCCTGTCTTAGAACAAGCAAAAGAATTTTTAAAAGAAAAAAATTTAAAAAAGAAAACAACATTGGGAGCTGACAATCTGGTAAAGATGCTTGCTTCGAAACCTGATGCATAGAGTTTGGATACCCAAGGCCCACATTATAGAAGACAAGACTCCTAAAAGTTGTCTTCTAACCTACTGTTAGCTCAATGACAATACACGGAAAGAAAGAGGTCCTTTGTTAAACTTACCATTTGTATCTCACAGGAAATAGTCCTCTTAGCAAATCCTGTTGATGTATTAAATCTTTGGTTTTTTAAAGCATTTTCCTGTTCTGAAATTTAACAAAAACAAATTTCAGCTTGAGAACAGAAAAAGTAAAGAAATTAAAAATTAGGGGAAGGCAAAAATTGTACTCCTATTTGCAATTGCTTTTAAACTGAATACACAGTGAGAACACTGACCTGGCTCAGTAGGTAAAGATGCTTGCTTCGAAACCTGATGCATAGAGTTTGGATACCTAAGGCCCACATTATAGAAGACGAGACTCCTGAAAGTTGTCTTCTAACCTACTGTTATACTGTGGCATACATACACCTATACATTCACACATTCTCACACACACACACACATTGTGCCTCCAACTACACCGAACTTATCAATGTCCAGTTCTGCCCTCTCGTTCTGTTCTATTATTTTTTATTACATTTAGCAACGGAAATGAAATTCAAGTTATTTGGATAAGCAGTAAATGCCCTTACCCACTAATCCATCTCACTAGCCCTCTAACTGTTTTATTCCCAAGACATCAGACTAGATTAAATTTAAAAGTTTGATGAAGAAAAATGTAAGTCAAATAACACAATGTTGCTAACATTACTTGGTGATTTTAAAACAAAGCAGGAGTCAGGCTCACACCTGTAATCCAAGCACATGGAAGCAAAAAAAGCAAGAGAACTGCAAATGTGATGCCAATTAACAAACAGCATGGGCTTACTCAATCTCTGAATCAAACTGCAATTATATCAGGACTCATTCAACTTGAACATTGTGTCCCCAGAAATTTTTAAAAAATACAAAAAAGGTATGCCTCACTTTAACTGCAGTATTGTTTATAGAGAATCCATTTTCCTAACAAGGCAGCAGACTCTTAATATAAAAAAAGTTAATTTAATAAGCTTGAGCGGCTCGGCTGGTGAATTGCTTGCTACACAAGAGTGAGAACCCTAATTATAACACCCAGAACCCATTAAAAAAAAAAAAAAAACCCCAGTGGGTGTGATGGTTCAAGTGAAAATGGCCCCGAGAGGCCCACAAGTAGTGGCACTATTAGGAGATGTGACATTACTGGAGCAGGTGTGGCCTTGTTAGAGGAAGTGTGTCACAAGGGGCAATGGGCTCTGAAGTCTCAGGAGCACAAGCCAGGCCCAATGTCGATCTCTCTTCCTGTGCCTTCCGACACCACTGTAGACCAGTCCCTAGCAGAGGGTGGGCGAGGCACTGCGGCAGTCTTGCCCAGCATGATATAATCTAAGTGGAGTCTTTTGTTGTTGTGCCCATATCTTCTTGGAGACCCCTTGGTTTGGGGGCAGGGGTTACTGTTAGGATTTGGGAGTCTCTGTCATAGTAAGTTTAAACATCTTAAATGTCATATTCAGCAGGTCTCTGATAGTTTTGAGGGCTAATACCTGCCAAGCATATCTGAGTTAAACAATCTTTGTCTATTTTTAGTTATTTGCTTTAAATTATACCTTGCAAACAAAACAGGAGGCTAAATAAAGCTTAATCTTGTAATTAATTGCATCAGTTCTTAACATGACTTCAAATATATTTTAACACATTAAAGGATTTGATCATTTATAAGGTTACTGACTACCAACTTACACTTCTTAACTTTCCTTAACAATTTAGTAGCTTTCATAAGACTGGGCTTTATGTTTTATCCCTATTAGGTTTACGTTTAAAATAACAATTTTAAGTTGGAGCCTTCTCAGCATCAAAACAATACCTTTAGTCCATAAACATAAAAATATCTATAGCTGAATAACATTAGCAAAAACTAGAGTAAACATTTTAAGAAATTATTTTTAAGTTTTTTTAATGTTATAAACCTCCAACATTTTTAAAAATTAGTTGAAAATTTCATAATTTTGTTTTGTAATAGTAAAATACAGTCCTTTTTAAGAGTGAAGACAAAGCATTGTAGAGAGCCGTTAAGCTGCATTGTTATGTTTTCATCTTGGCCTTTACCTTGACAAAGAATAAAGGAAGTTTCGACAAATTCCTTATGAGCCAAAAAAAAAAAAAATTAAAAATCAGCCATTATTAAAGTTTAAGGCCTAAACTAGGTGGGTGAGGTCCAGTAATGCCCTGAGGGGAAGAACCTGCCATACTGCATTCTTTCCCCACCCACTAGAGATACAGTTGCTAGGAAACTGGCCCATCCCCCTAAGGAGGGACACCAGATCATTAATGGTTTGGGGACCTTCCAAAAGCCAATCATTTCAAAATGTAGCATTTTGACCAATAGATGCTTGCCAGGCAGGAATCACCCCTGCCTTGGGCATGCTGGGAGGGACCAGAATCTTTAAATCCCCCAACTAACTAACCTGAGCACAGGGCTCTCAGCTCTCACCGATTTGGTGGTGGGGGGTGTGAACCCAAGCTGCAGCTTGTAATTTGTAATAAAAAAATCCTCATGTGGTTTGCAACGGACTCGGTTCCTGGTGGTGGTCTTTTGGGGTATCGTGATTCGGGTACAACACTTAAAATAGTGTTCCAAATTCCTTAAAAGCTTGTTTGTGTGACTTGGACCATAACTGCTTTAGGGAATTAGTTTTAGAACAGGACTTTATCTGCTATAGGGAGATAGTTTTTGAAATGTAAGTTGGGTGTTTCCACAAACCTTTTCTTTTTTAATTGATGTGACTTGTCTTTGTTTTACATATAAAAAATGAACCCTGGAATAAACCCACACTGCTGCTTCAGTCATACTGACAGCCCTCTCAAGCCGTCCCGGGTATAGTACATTTTGTTTTAATTAATTTAAATCCTCACTCCCCACTCAGATACTGTTCAACTCTGCTGGCGGGCTCCAGCAGAGCATAATCATAATTTTCAGAAGACAAAACCAAGTTCTAACAGTATAAACAATTTAATGTCTCTAAAATTAATTCCAAGTGGGTTACTATTATGTTACAAGGTTTAGCTGTCAGGGCCAGCAACCAAGGTATGTTGCAGCTTTAATACCTCATTAACCAAGCAGAGCTTTAAATCCTATCTTTTATAAACCTGGTTTTAGAGACAGAACAGAAATTACATAAATCATGTGACAGCCCTTAGTAAAGATGACAGTGGAGCCATATCTTCTTTTTTTTTCCAACCCATAACAGAGATGGCTGCCAGCCATGTGGCTGCCCAAAACCAAGATATTGGTGAAGCCATGGCTCCACCTTCTTTATCCCGTAGTCAAAATGGTGGCCAGAGCTGTTCATAGCCCAGAATGGAATCACGCCACATGGTTTAAGATTACTTAACCATAAAAACATGCCTGGGTCTGAAAAGGGGTGAGCCATAACCATTCTCAGAGCCAACAATAAAGTAGAACAAATTATTTAAATAGCATTTGAATCTCTATTGTACTGAATCCAGTGGCCAGAAAGCCCAGAGGTGAATTCTGAGCCCAGGCAGCTGGCATCAGGAAAAAGAAACATCATTTATGCACACATTCAAAACAATCAGAAACAAGCATGCACTGGCCACATTAATTCACATGCATAAAATAGACAACAATAGTGAACCAAGTTTAGCCGTACATTGAAGTGGAGACATAAGTAGGAGGTGGGTCTTAGAGCTGCTGCCAGAGCCGTGTTGTGGCAAAGAAGGGATGTGCAAGAGCACGATTCTGAAAAAGCCTGGAAATAGGGCATTTCAGACCAATTGCATTTACACTGGCAGGAATTGTCAGGATAGCCTAGGCCACAAAACAAAGAAAAAACAGGGGTTTCAGGGCACAAGGTCTGAGACAGTCCCAATTTAGACAAATTCTGAAGCAGGCCCTCCCAGGGTGTCTGAGAATCCGTTTTAGATCTGTTGGCACCCATTTTCCCAGCCTTTGCCATGGACCAAAGGCTCAATGTGCATCATCCTGCATGTAAGCCTGGAGTCTTCTGGGGATTGGGGAGCTATCTTAGAAAGGACATGTATAAATTCCTAAAGCTTGACAGTGGGACAAGCTTGCCCTGGCCAGTCAGTTTGGCACGTTATCCCAGCGGTCACGAGACACACAGAAGAATGGTTACTCACTGAGTCCACAATCAGTTGCATCTGGCGGAAAGAAAGATGAAGAAAAAAGTGGTTCCCATTTTCGTAAGGTGCTCCAGGGCTCAACTCCATCCCATGTTTCCACACCAGATACAAAGCTTCTCTCCACCAATGAAATAAGCCAATTCAAGCCAAATTAAAAGTATAAAGGCTTAAAGGCTGGTTTATTGGTGGCAGCTTTTGGGCAAGTTCACTGACCTCACAGGCAAGTTCCTGACCCCATGCATATGGGGAGAGATCATGCACTCTCTTGAAGAGAGAAATGCAGAGAGAGAGAGACCCCTGGGCTGTGAAGTCCAAGACAGCTGGCAAGATATACCAGCCTTTCTTTGTAAGCAGGTAGGGACTGAGGGATGCTGAAAGAACCTGGAGGCCAGGTCAGCTTTGATATGTTAAATAGGCACCTCACAGCTTGTCAAGGGTCTGAAACCCAACACCCACCATGACCAAAACAAACTAAACCTCTGAACTATAAGCCAGCTCCAATTAAATGCTTTCCTTTATAAGAGTTGCTATGGTTATACCATCTGCTCAAAGCCATAAAATCTAACTAAAACAGAAGTTGATACCAGCAGTGAGTTATTGCTGTGATAGGCCTGACCATGTTTTTGTTTGTAGGAATGTGGAATTTGAAACTTTCTATCAGAAAAGCAGTCAAATGCTTTTTAAGTGGGGCTTAATAAACCACATGAATATGAGCATGGAAGACTGTGGGGGGCCTTCTGGCACCTTGCTGCCCTCCAGAATTCTTGGCATTTGGTTTAATGACAATAGTGCATTCCTGGCTGACCTGGGGCATAAAATAAAGGGCATAAAGGGCATCTTCCTGAAACATCTTAAACCCTTCCCCCCCCCTCGGAGATTCCCGAGTAACACTTCAGAGGAACTTTCCAAACAATTGTTATTAATACACCTTGTGACTCGTTTGTTGGGTGGTCCTGTGATACCATTATTAGCACATCTTGTGACTCCTCTGGTGGGTCAACCTGTGATTCCTAGTCATTTAGTAAT